TTGTGACAGTAGCGGTCAGTAGCGGACCACAACCGATCGCTCAAGACTCAAGGCCCAGCTGTGCCTGCCCACCATTTCCGGGACCGCAGCCTCAGCCAGCGGAAAAGGCCGTCGGTGTTACGGTGTTAGGACAAATATCCAACACTAACCCTCGACTAGCACATGAAGGAATTCCGAGCTGCATCCGTTGTGCAGTCTATTCATCTTACTACTTCCGATCAGGATTCAGGTACCCCATCCTGAGAAATGGTGGAGGCGAGCGGTGGTGGTGGTTGTTGTTGTTGTTGTTGCTGCTGCTGTTGTTGTTGTTGTTGCTGGTGTTGTTGTTCGTGTTGTTGTTGGTGTTGTTGTTGGTGTTATTGTTCGTGTTGTTGTTCATGTTGTTGTTCGTGCTGTGGTTCCTGGTGTCGTTCGTGGTGTTGTTGTTGGTGGTGGTGGTGGTGGTGCAATGACCCACACTCCTGTGGCGTATACAGCGTGGTCGCTGAAGTTGCAGCTACCTATGAAACCTTTGTTGCAAGCAGCAGTGAGCTGTGAAGGAAGGCGGGTTCGGAGAGCCTGGCTTGCTGAACAGGTTAGATGGACGTGGCCTGCCAGGTACACTGTATGTTTGGAAGGGACGAACCAGTTCCAACTGTTAGATATGGCCTTTTGGAGAGAAGCTGGAGAAAAGCTCGAGCAGCTAGGCTTGTGAAAATCTTGGGGTTGTGGCTATGTTTGGCCATTTTGGGAGTATGTTAGGCCACAAAAATAATGCGAAACAAATTATTACTAATATTACTAATATTATTGATATTATTAATAATATTATTGTTACCATTATTGTTGTTGTTGTTGGGTCATCTCAGGGATATGTTAGGGCCAGCTTGGTGCCAGCGGCTATGTTGGGGCCATCTAGCGGCTAGACTGGGGCTATTTTGGGGCCATGTTGAGCCATCTTGGGGCTATGTTCAGCCATCTTGAAGCTATATCTTGGAGCTATGTTGGGCCATCTTGGTGCTATGTGGGACCACAAAAAAAAACGGCAAAGCAAGTTATGCAACCCCACCCACGTCGCATTAGCAGCTTAATTTGCTAGAAACGCTGTGGTTTTGAAGGTCTTTGGATAATACCATAAAACCACGGTACACTGAAGGGGGGGAGGTACCCCTACCCGGTCGGCGGCAAAGCCCATACTCCGATGGGGCTATAGGCCCTGGCCGGACAAAAGGCACTGACCTTTACCGCTGACAAGCTCCTCATCGACATGTTCTTTCAAGAGCTTAGCCCCGTTGAAATGAGCTCTGCAGTCATCCCAAGTACTTGGAAAGCTCTTTTGTCAGAGGTGTTTTTCCTTAGTGAAACGACATGCGTTCTTTCCGCTCGGCATGACTGCCAACCCCTTCATCCCAGCAACCCACTTGTCACACCGTGCTCAATGAGTCGGAGGTCGATGACGGCCTTGGTTGACGGACCAAGCACCGAGGTCTTGGCAATTGAGTTCAAACGGCTAGGTGGGGCTGGAATTTGGTCCTACATACATACCTAGCTACCCATCTATCTATATATGTATCTCTGTGTGTGTTTGTTTGCATGTATCTATCTATCTACATACTTGTCTATCTACCGAATGATCGATGCTGTGTACGGTATTCTTATTTGTTCATTGTGCTTTATATATATATATACATAAAAAATACATACGTTGTATATATATATATATATATGCCTGAGACGAAAGCCAGCGAGGGACCAATATGGTAGTGCAAGACTGGGAGGAAAAATAGCGAGCACTTATTGTTGAATGCCTGTAGTTTTCGTGGAGTTTGTATCAACGCGGAGTAGATCAAGATCGGAGCACAGCATGAAGTGTTGAATGTTTTTTAGGTTTTCTCGATTCTCCTGGCGCGGTGCTCTCTGGAGCGTCCCTGTTTGGTGGTCTATTTGAGAATCCGTGTAAAAATAAACGTTAGTGAAAGGTGGTTTTCGGTTGTGTTGAAATGTGTTTCGGGCATCGTGCATCAATGCAATGCGAAGCCCTATAAAGAGCAGGGCTGGGAGAAAAAAAAGAGGAGAGCACTCGTTCTTGAATGGTTGTAGTTTTCGTGGAGCTGGTATCACTGCGACGTAGATGAAGATCGGAGCACAGCATGAAGTGTTGAATGTTTCTAGTTTTCTTGATTTGCCTGGTGCGGCGCCTTCTGAAGCGTCCCTTGCTGGTGTTCTATTTGAGAGTCCGTGCAAAAATAACTGAGAAGTAACAATACGTGAGCCAACACGAAAAAAAAACAGCGATGCCCGAAAGATCTCTTTCGCTGTTGTCGGCCATATTTCGGGCATCGCGTGTTTAAGTCTTCGACACGTGGCCACAGAGAGTTGCTGCTAAGCGCCCCTGGCTTGCTCGCTACGAAACCTCAGAGCTGCAGCCTGCTAAAGCTTGTCCAGAAGTGCCCCTGATCTGTGCATGCCCCAGGTCTAAGCAAAACAATCAGACTCCGTATGGAGATACATAATGAATGCCGCCCGAAGGATCCCACATCCTTTCTGTTGCTGTGGTAAATGTTTTGGGCATCGTGTTGAACGCTTCCGCATGTCCCCGCCTTGAGTTCACCCTCGCCCAACTGGACATACTCACATCGTTCGCTGCCAGAGCGTTCACTCACAGTCCCTATGTCCTGCTCAGGACTAGAAAAATTGTTTCCAGACCCCTTCATGATGCTGATGATGCACTACTCGGTGTCATTTACATCACTTGCATCACCAAACCACTTTTTCGATGCTTTCCTGACCCTACTTTTGAACGCTCTCCCCCACCAGGCTCAAGGTTCGACCTCCCAAAAGTGGCCTCTGCGCGACCACCCCCCCCCACACCCCCTTTATTCACTTCGTTCACCCTAAAAACTCAAGCCTTCGTGATATATGAGACACACATATATATATATATATATATACAATAATCTTTGTTTACCTACCTTTACCACAATCATATGCAATCATACCTCCCCATGGTTCTATTGAGAGCGCGAAACGCTGATGTCTATTCGATAACTTAAGTGGTCAAGAGCTGCCAATTAACTTGTGCCGCATGATGAAAAGTCCGAAAAGTTGAGGCCTTTGACTATTGAATTGAATTACAGTCGAAGTCAAAGATTGGGTGTTTGTGTTTGACGCTTGACTTCCTGACCTGGTTTTCAAATTAAATCGAATTGAAGCATGGCTACCAGGTAAGGGGCCAAGGCATTGATGGCACAAAACAATTGCTGTTATCGTGGTAGCAAAGGCACCTTGCCAATAGGGCCTCCAAAATCCAAGCGGGGCTCAACTTCAGAATGATGGTCGCGGCAAAGTTAAGCGGAGGGGACTGGACATGCTGTTCGGCAATCTGTGATTTTCCTTGGCAATGCTTTCTCTCAGCCATACATTTACAGGTTCCATTTCGGGGAACCTTCCTCCTTGGCACATGGGATGAAAGGAAATAGAAAAGCATCAAACAGCAAGAAGCTGGATGGTTCTAATCTGTATTGAACACTTTCTTGTCCTTTTTGTTGCTTGCATTCTTTGTGGCCTTGTTCCCAAAGATGACCGTCTTGCGTGCCGGAGCTGGATCCCCTCTGGGACCTACAAATCCATCAGGGCGTGAACTTCTGTCCGCCAGGCACTCGAGCGCGTCTTCCAGTCGAATAATGAGGTTATTCGTGGAGTCCAACTACATGGGGTCAATATCGAACGAATTTTCAGAGTAAAGGCGTCTTTGCAAACTGAGCCCACCTGCAAGATACTCGCCCATCAAACACCAAAGCACCGAAGAATGCAGCTCGACAGTGGCACGTTCGAGCACTTCGATCTACTGCTGAACTTTGGCAGCATGTGCGGTTCAAAGGCCGGCGAAGGCCGGCCAGCCAACGTTGCTCGAAGATGGTGAAAAACATCACTTTTTGTATCAACGCCCAAACAGAAAGGATCTTTAAACAGAAACAGTCCTTAGTCCTTTCACTAATAAATGGTCAAATGGGGGTTTGAAGCTGAGCAAACAGGGCAAGTCACAGCATTCCTCTGACCAGCCCAAAGGCATTTCCTGTTCGCCAAATTAAAGCGGCGCTCAGGCGACATGACACGCAGCTGGCAATCAACGACAATCTTGTTGCTACAATGCTGAATACTACAGTAATCTAGACCCAATGCCAGAATGCTGTTCAAGAGCAGAACCACGGCAATCTTCACATAAACTGCAGTTGCCGCACCCATGCCAATGCGCAAGATGTGCAATGTGTTGGATGCCCCGACGATTGTCATATCCAGCCACTTGCACAGGATCAATTCACAGCTTGCAGCCTTTCCAGGCCCCCCCTGTCATCGTGCGTTCGTGCAATCCACCAAGGGTTTCTCATTGCAGTCATATTGAGTCATGTCTGCAGTAGCTTCTTAATACAAAAGAGACCTCAGGACATCCGAATTGATTGTGAGCACATCTGCCCTTGATGTATTGAACTGTGGAAGCCTCCACGTCGGCTGGGGTACCTTACCTTCACCAAATGGTTTTCTTTGGTCACAAGACCAAGGCCCCTAGCAGCAACCCCAGGATTCCAGACATTAAACTGCAGACTGCCATCAAGGAAATGTTCTTCCATCTTGGTTGCCTGGAGCATGTCGATGTTTTGAAACAAAGAACATTAACACAAGCAACGTAAATCGATCGATTGCTTTCTCAGCTCACCCCACCTCTACAGCACTTCGAGCACTCGAACCTGTCCGTCTGAACTTCCCACAGCCTGGCGCTCTGCCACTGCGAAACAAACTGATAAGACAGGTACGGGCCCCATCTTAACCTCTGGCTACAGACCTTGCCAGCCCTGAAATGCTCAAAACAGCTGGACTGAAATCTTTGGAAAAACAAGCTCATTTAGAAGCCATCAAGGCAGGGAAGCTTCCCGTCACTGATTGCTGGCCTACCTTCAGCCAAACAGGATTGACACGGGATTGCTTGCACCCGCTAGGTGACTTGGTGGAGAGTTTAAGATGATCTATTCGTCGAAAGGATTGTGTGATTTGCGCATTGGTCTTGCTTTCTGCAACCAAGCAACGGCCATCTTAGAACTAATCGACCAGTCCACAGTGAAGACAGGCTTCCTCGATGCAGGTTCGTGGGACGAGAGTCGGAGCCAGGGAACGGTTTCTGAGGCCATCGTGCCTCGTGCGAACAACTCAAATCGGACAACTCGGTGGACGAACTCGGACGACTCGAATTCGGGCGATGAAAAACCCCGTGTTGCTCCAGGGCACGGCATCGACACTAAAGCCCCAAAGGGCACTGGCATGGCCCCTGGCTGCCGCAAGAAGAACTTGGCCTCAGCGTCGCCACAGCGAACAAAGCTCCGTCCGGAAGACCAGTGTATCAAAACAGGGAGACCCAAGCAATGGGGTTTAGACGGGTGTAGTCTGTAGTCTACCATGCCCCAACCATCACTCTCCACAGAGTCTGTTTTTGAAAATTCTTGTTGACCAATATATAAATTGTTGCAGTTCTTAACATAGCAAAAGGACCCTGCTTGCTTGCACTTGAAAGCATCAAATGCTGACTGACCCCACCTCATTCTCCTGAGAACCACCCGCCAGGATCATGCTGCTCCCGGCATCCTCGCAAGAGTCATGCTTTGAAGGCACACCTGCTGATAGCGCCTGTTGCTGCTGTCTGGTTCTGCATTGATGCACTCCAAAGCGAGAAATCTAGAAGGGTAGATGAGATCATGCTAATCATCCAATCCGGGCCTCTTCAAGACTGAGTGAAATTGCTTGCTTCTGGTAGGGCTGACCCATTCCACAACTACCTCCCAACAAGTGTAGTATGCTCGTATCTACTGTGTTTGGGATGCAGATTTCCTGCACAAGCGACTTGGGCGCTGGTCATGGTTGGTCCGCCTATGTACTTGGAACCTGCATGTGTGCAAGTACCTCACAAGCAGCTCGCTACTTTTCAAAAAGAGAAAAAGGAGTTGCGGTTCTTTGCAATTCACGGCTTTACGCAGCAGTCCTTGCTGAACTGAGCCGCGAAGAGCTGGCAGGGGCTCCTCGGGATCAAATGGAGTGCGTCACAAGCTAAAAGGAAGGCATGACTTCATTCAATGTCCAACAAGGTCGCCCTGTGCGTCCAAAAAACAGATTTGCAGCGCAAGCATCTTGGAGGAAGCGCTTGCCCAGTCAATCGTCTGCGCCACCTGCAGGCAAAATTTCAAGGCGGTTGACACGCGGAAGTCGATCGCCCAACCGCAGACTGCGGACCAGATCACTTCACGGGCCTTGCCGGAGGCAAAGTCCCAGATCTGGAGAGAGTTCTCAGTTCTCCACGAGCCTGCCCAGCACCGGCAAAGTGTTACACAAGGATCCACGAAAACTTCGCACCACGAATTTGCTGGATCCTGTTTGGCTATCTACATCCAAAATGTCCAAGAACGATCCGCCCATCTGAGATTGGTGGTACTTACGACCAATGTAGCATATAAGCCAACTGTACTTTCTTGAAATTATGTTGTATTCTATGCACAGAACCTGTGGGAGAAACTGACATGAGTTATTTTGGGGGCCTGCCTGCTGTCTCGCAATGTTCGTCTAAGAGAATTGGGTGTTTATTTACGTCCCCGTCTGTCTCACAATAAAGGTCACAAAGGCCCCCGAAACAACAAGCTTTGTTCCCTTTAGTCGATTCTCAAAAACTGGCCATAGCCATAGCTCAACCCATCTGAGGCTGATCTTCCTTCTCCTTGCCGAATCGAAGCCAACGCCACCCCAATCGGTATCGCCTGTGAGGATCTGCCGTCCATCGCTGGAGATATCCACCGCGTCGCCACCTGCATTCCGAGCGATCTGAGGTTCAACGGATACATCTCTGGCAAGCCGGCCGCTCCTACTTCAATAAGTCGGCGCCTACTTAGTTGAGTAAGGGAGCAAGCTTTTGGCTACTTAAGCTACTACCTACTGGATCCAGGATAGCTCACGCTTTTTCAAGGAAGCTCACCTAGCCCGAGGGCTGGGGAGAGCTTCCTTGAAGAAGCGCTCGCGCTAATGATTTGGTTTCTAGATGTCTAGGGAAACTCAAATATAGCAACCAATGCGCAGCAACTCCCCCGGCTGCCATTGACACTGGCATGAGAATGAAAGAGGTTGGCATCTCAAAAGGACCCCTGGCGGATGTGACTGATTCTGTCTTTCCCAGTAAAATATCTTGTTTTCGGGGGCAGAGTTACTTTGACGTCTCGGGGTCTGACAAGTGGGCGTTGGTCTCTTCAAAGTCTTGCTTCTTGTTTAGGAGGGTACGTGAAGGCTTTCGATCGCACCAATGGGTCATGCAAAATTCCCATGCCACCCTAGTTTGTCTCTCTCCATAGTCCGTCTTCTTGCCACAGGCACAGTATAGCTCTGCTCAAACTACTGCGATAGACTCTGTAAATGACCAGCTTTGCACTGACAAATGCACCCAAGGCACAAATGTAGGCGTTCCAGAGGCTCTTCACAGAGATACCTTTTCTGGTGTCCCAGACTTGGACCTCAAACCGCTTTGGAATCATGTCAAACTTCCATCGGCAAAAACCGCCAAACACCAAAACGTCCCCAAACGTGGTGTGAGTGCCATCGTGACTACTAGCGATTTGACAACTAGTGACGTGCAGAACCACAGCAACAGCTAATCAGCCACAGGCGCCGTGTTGTCCCAGCCACCAGAGAGAATGATGTTGGGATCTTCTGGGTGATACTTCAAAGAGAAGATCCGGTTTGAGTGTCCTGCTGTCTCCTCGCAGAACAAGCAGAAGGCAAATGTCCAAAGAACAAGCAGAATTGTTCATCACCTCTACGTGTCGAGCAGATCGTGATGTCTTGCACAAAATCCCACAAGCCCCCCAGTTCCCAAGGTACAACACGCGCATAACCCTCTCTTCGTGTCACTCGATGTTCGCGTTTCGGCGCTTGGCAGTGCTCCGTTCGGCGTTTCGGAGCCCATTCCGTCCTTCATGTCGCCACCCTGCAGCGTCATCAACTGCCGCTTCGTTGCCTCGTCGTAGACCCGCAGCAGCCGGTCCTTCCCGGCAGTGGCGAACTGGCTGCCGTCGCTGAAGTAATCCAAGCCTTGCCGATGAATTTAGAAGTCGGGGTGCAAGCAACAATCTATGTGTATAAATGTGTGCATGTATGTGCACTGCCATGTTTATATTATATATCTGTATATATATATACATATCTTATATTATATATGTTATGTGTATATATACCACAAATTATATATATATACATATACGTGCCATTACATGTTATATACAGTATATATAATACGGCTCATCCGATCTCATAAGATCGAATTGTCGCAAATATCTGAAAATGCCCGAGGACTTGAACAGCTTTTCTGGGTGCCCAGGCAGAAGATCTGATTTCCTTTCTCGGTGATGCTGTGCAAGCACCTGGGCCCCGGGCTGAAATGTGGTGAAAGACATCACGTAAGCTTTCTGCCCGCTGTTCTGTTGGCTTTCCAGTAGTTTTTCCAATGAATTCTTAAGAAACATGATCGACATACTCTGGTCTGAAAATAGCAAAGCATGCAAAAAGGGCAGTGCCAAACATGCGGTGGTTCGAGTCTTCACTCCATTGACTGCCAACAAGCGAACCTGTCCACTAAGCAGGCCTGTCTGAGAAGCCGACTTTCCGGACTTAATGTGCCACTGCATGATTTGACCTTTCAGGCTCTACATCCCACGGTCTCATGAAACAAGATGAGTATATAATAAGTGTGATAGTGTATTTTGGGTTATTTTAAAGTAATCTAGACTAGAATATGTATAATTATATACATTATACAGCTGAAAAAAATGACCGGATTTGTGGAGGAACCAGACCAAAGGCCACAAAGGTGCTGAAGCCAACACAAACATCTTGGTCCAGGACCATCAAACTCGGCATTCACGGAGACCAAAACCTCAGGAGATCCAGAACATCACACCTCTTGATGTGTCTCTTTTAGTCCACGCGAATGTTTGAAACACCTGAAGTGGGGGGGTTCCTTAGTCCACCAAGGTCATGACTTCATCACCTCTGAGTCTCCATTCTCTAGGAATCTTCCAAGAATGCTCCCCACATCATCCGTCTCTCCATTCAAGGTCAGCCTTTGTTTTCCAGGTCTGTTGAGAGTGGTGAGAACACCATGCCCCATGTTTCTCGAGTGAAAAAGGAGCGAGGTGTTTCCTTTGTCAAGGGTTATGAGCCCAAACTAGCGGCTCTTAGCTGCGCCATGGATCGAGCAAGATCACTCCCTCCGGTCAATCCTTTCTGGTCTGAAAGGGTGCAACAGGAGGTTTGGTTGCAACACCATAGACCCGAAGATCTCCCGGCGCCACATGATGATGGCGACCTCGAGGAAGGCGGGTTCACTGGTGGCACAGGGAAGGGTCGAGGCTTATCAACTGGAGGGCGGGTTTTTGCCACTCCACCCAGCCACCAGACGCCCGAAGGAAGAGGTGGGCAAGGCGCTGGAAAGAGATCGAAGGGCAGGATGTCGTCACCAAACATGGCCTGTTCCTGGTCCGTGCAAGTCTATGGGTCCTATGCCCCCTGAACATGTTCAAGCCAAGCCTAGGCGGGGTCCTGAGTCTGAAGGGAACCTGCAGCGAGCTCTGGAAGCGGAAATGGTCACTTTCCTTAGGGAGCAGAATGATCATCTGCGCCTGGAACTAGAGGAAATGAAGAAGAAGCTAGCGGGTGGGACTTCGTCGTCGGCGCCTTCGGCACCATCGTCGTGGGAGTTTCCGGATGGGATGGGCGCGCATCAACCGGGGGACGAAGAGATGGGCAGTCGGTTGCGGGCTGGAGGGGTTTCAGCTGATGACAAACGGCCCTCGTCGAAGAACCGAGTTGATGGTCCTCATACGCCACGGGGGAGAAGTCCTACAACCAGAAGGGTGCTTTCGGAGCGGCCAGCGGTTCGCTATACGCCCAACGGCGCTCAAGTTCCTGATGGGCAACCACCTGAATTGCCGGAAGTGCCGTTGCCACCTTTTCGACCTCCTACCTCATGCAACTCGGCTGAAATTAGTTTGCTTCAGGGGTATGAGACTTTGGATGAACTTCGCCGTCGACGAGGCGATCAACACTGGTCGCCACTTGGCGTGCGAGAAGGGAAGGCTTTCGAGCCGCAGAAGAATGGGTTCGCGCCTCGTGGCGATCGCGCAACTCGGCTTGAAAAAGAGGTGGAGGCACTGAGAATCTCCATGGAGCGGATGCAGGAAGCTTCGCAGGGTCCTGGACGCGTGGCTGCATGCTCTCAGGATGTCCATCCACCACCTCTTCAGGATTTGGGTACAGTAGGCCTACGGGGACATGACCTCCAAGAGCTGTTTGGTGATGGTGGTCATGGTGTGGGCTATGGTCATCGTGGGGGCTATGCTGGTGATAGCATGGGTGCTCCGGTTGATCATGAACGTGATAAGGTATGTCCCCCTGATCCTGACGGTGTACGTCACCCTTCAACCACCTACAGAGTGTTTGAGCCTGCAAGTGATTTCGTGGGTTCTGGCGGGGCTGTACCCGACTACAATCGGGACGGTGGCTATGGTCGCTGGCGGGATGAGGGTGGTCAACCCCCACTATGCCTCTACCCTGGAATGAAGGTTCTGGAAACAGCAAAGCTGAATTAGCAGAGCTCTCCGCGGACGCTTCACCTTTGGAGCTGGGAGATTGGTTGGCAGTGTGTGGTCCCGTATTGAGGGACATTTCGGCAGTCAGCGCCAGGTGGTGGAGCCTCACTACACGTGAAGCCCAGTGCTACTATGAACGCTGGAAGACGTCATCACCACTGGAGCGTGTTCAGATCTCGCCGCAGCTGCCGGATGAGTTGCTTGATGGCCGCTATCAGAGGACGGAACAGCGGGTGTTCATCTGCTCTTGCGGGCCATTCCAGCCGATCAACAACAAGCTTTGATCACAGCGCGTGAGCTCACCTCGACGGCACTGCTGTTCAGGTTGTTGGTCCGGTACCAACCAGGAGGATATGGAGAGAAAGCAATACTCCTCTCCAAGTTGACCGCCACGGACAAAGCCACAGGGGTCACTGAGTTGGCAGCAGCTTTGAGGTTATGGAGGAGGCATTTTTCTCGGGCTCAGGAGATTGGTGCCATTCTACCTGACGGCGCGTCGCTGCTGAAGGCATTGGCTCAAATTGCCTCGATGGGTGCCCAGGCCTCGTTCAGATTGGCACAGAGTCGACTCCAGCCATGGGGGTCGATCAGCAACCTCTTCACTCGCGCATTTGGCGGTTCAGTCAATGTTTGCTGGCGGAAGTGGAGACTCTGTCATTGATGAGCACTACTCCATCGTCTGTTCCCTCAACAATCAAGGTGAAGCAGATGGAGGCTCCAACAAAGTCAACGCCATCCCAGGGCATGCAAACTGGGGACAAAGGTAAGGGTGGTCCGATGGCATTCACGCCTTGCAAGTACTTCAGATCAGAAGCTGGGTTTGAAGCCGGCAAGGCTTGCAAATGGTCGCAGAGCTCTCAGTCAACTGGATCATGAAGTGAAGGGCGTGGTTTTGTTGGATTCGGGTGCCACGCACGCCCTCAGGCCAGCTCGTGATCAGCAGGAGTGGCAGGAAGCTCAGCCAACACAGGTGACCTTGGCGGACGGCATCACTGACAAGCTCCGCCTCAAGCAAGCGTCAAAGGTGCTCTTGTCGGCTCCATGTGATGATGAATGGGGTCAATCTTGGATCATCCCACTTGGCGGCATTGCGGAGTTGGGGTACAAGTTTGAGTGGAAGAATGCTCGATGATGAAGATGGGCGTGATCTTCCAGCGGTAGTGCACCACGGTTGTCCTATGGTTCCTTGTGAAGTGGGCCAGGCGATGATTGACAGGTTGGAAAAGCAACAGATCCGGCTTCTTCGAAAGGCCCAGATCTTGAAGTCCATGATGCTGGATCCATCTGTGGAGATGATTCAGTCCATTCAACAGTCCACGGAGATGGCTATGACATACAAGTTGAAAACTTTGTTCAAGGCTTTGCCGGATGGCGATCGTCTCCCTTGGAACAGGCGGAAGCGCCGCAGACTGGAGCGTGCCAAACAGATCGCGCTCCATTTGTTTTCTGGCCCAGACTCCAAGTATTGGGAGAAGGCCATCCAGCAAGGCAGTGTGGAAATGCTTTGCATCGATTTGCAAGCGGAGGTCTCCGCGGATTTGCATGATGACCACATCTACCGGTACCTGCTGTCGCTTGCAGCTTCCGGAAAAGTCAAGGCCATCATTGGTGGCCCGCCTTGCAGAACAGTGTCAGCTCTCCGGTATCAAGAAGATGGTGGACCTGGCATCCTCAGAACAGAAGAATATCCATATGGATTGCCGACCTGGGCTTTAGTCACGGGTGATCGTGTCTTGCTGTTCCGGACGCTGGCTCTGTACATGCTGCGCGAGGACGTCCGTCATGAACAAGAACCTCAAACGGCACTGGCTGTTGAGCAGCCGGAAGATCCAGCTCATTACCGTCCTGTCGCTGAAGTACAAGAGAAAGGTTTCATGTCGATTTGGCGGACTCAAGAGTGGCAAGCTTTTGCTGATGCGTATGACATCACGTTGCTCCACTTTGATCAAGGTCCTATGGGCCATGTGAAGCGGAAGCCTACAACATTGGCGGCGGAGCTTCGTGATGTTCAGGCCTTAGATGGAATTCGAGGGCCTCCCAGCGGAGTTGAAGCTGGAGATCAACAAGATCGCAACCGCATGTCAATGCAGGAGCGGTGTGACAACTCGAAAACATGGGCATCGTGGGCATCTGGTCTAAAAGGGGCACTAGTTCTTGCTCTACAAGAGCATCTTCACCGAGGGGCAACACCATCGCTGGCAGCTGCCATGCGACCCCTTGGTCAGGTGGCTTTAGAAGGGTGGCGAAACCACAACCTCAATGACCACATGCCGGCTCGTCGTGACTGCAAACACTGTGTCAGGACATCTGCTCAAAGCAGGCCTCATCGTCGAATCATCCACCCAGAAAGTTATACTCTGAGTGTGGACCTCTCCGGAAAGATGGTGGTGGGCCAAGATCAGAGCCGTCACGATTGCCGATACATGATGATCGCGGTCTACACCTTCCTGGCTGCATGGTGGACGGTTCGGGTCGCTCGAGGCGGTTGGCCTGGAGGAGATTGTGGGGGAGGCGGCGGAGATCAAAGGATGGCATGGCAGCAGGAGGTGGAAAAGGCACAGGACGTGACGGTCCGTAACCTCACGTTCGTGGAGGTCCTCCCTGGCAGTTCAGTTCAACACATTTTGCCAGCTTTGGCTCGCATCTATGCTCGGTTGAGAAGTCTTGGATTGCCGTTGTATAGGATCCATTGCGATCGAGCCCGTGAACTGATTTCTGCACCTGTTCGTCGATGGACGTTGGACAGGGGGATTGTCAATAGTTTGACCTCCACCGGTTTGGACAGCTGGCCGTTGGCGACCATTCACATTGGTGAAAGACGGCTTCGTGGCCAACTCAGGAGTCTCGGCACCCCTGTTGGACCTTTGCTCCAGTTTGGGGCTCGCGCTTTTGCCTTGAAGAAGTCTTGGCAAGATCGATATGAACCTTGGAGGGAGCTCCGGGACGAGTTGATCTTTCTGGGACCAGCTCTTCTGTCTTCACTGACCTCAACCTGCTATTACGTTCAATCCGTGGAGAGAAAACGATGCATCTACACCGATGACGTGGTGGTTCCACATCCAGATCAGCCTGAGGCGAGTGAAGTTTTGGTGCATCTGCCGGAGATTGAGGGCGGTGAGATGCCTTCACGACCTTTGTGGGATGGAAATGTTCCCCGGCGTCGACTTCGTGAAAAAAACAGCAGTTCCTTCCATATCCATGTTGCACATGGAGGGGGAGATTAGCAGCCGTGTTCAAAATTGGCTGCGCGCTCACCGTGACGCGTTTGATGCCCATGCGCCAAATGATGCTGAGCTGTTCAAGGCGGAATGGAGCAGTGATAGTTGGACAATCGAAACTCCATCAAAGACTTCATCCAGCGCTGGTGAAGTGGACTCCCAGGATGCCGGAAAAGAAGAGGTTCCAACCGGCCGAGGGGATGTGGAGGAGGCGCCTAATAGCCAGGACGGTGGCTCAAGCCTGGCAGCCTCGATTAAGAAAATGGCACCTGGGAGGTTTCCGTTCACCAAAGTCCAATTGCTCCGTTTTGCGCAGGCCAACTTGGCTGAGTATGTCAAGGAGGAGATGGGCCATTTGGACATCACCAACTTGGAACAGGGCTGGTACATGGTCCAACAAAGCCATCATAAGGAAGGTAGAGGTTGAAGAGCAGCTTCTCCAGAATCATCAAGAACAGGAAGCACTCAATGGCAAGGAGCTTGAAGAGGAGTTCCTGGTCACCAAGACCATCAGAAACCGAGAGGTCATGGATGACTTTGAAAACTGGGCGCCAGCAATCACAGCAGAGCACGGGCAGTTGGTCACCACAAAGCAGGCGGTGGAGCAGATCACCAAGGAAGCTTTGAGGGTTCGGGCAGCTAAGGAAGGGAAGACAATAGAATTGCTCCCAGCAAAGATGGTGTACACCCGAAAAGCGGGGACAGGCGCTCGAAGGGCTCGGGCTGTGTGCTGCGGCAATTACTCAGAGACCAGGTTCGACGAGGATTGCTATGCTGGAGGTGCTGACGGATGTCAGGTGAGGGCGTTGGTGAGGACCGCGGCTCTCAAGGGGTGGAGAATAGCAGCCACTGACATCCGGGTTGCTTTCCTGAACGCCCCTCGCCGTGAAGATGGCAAATTGGTTGCAATGGAGATCCCGGCAGTGTATCGCCGTTTAGGCTTAGCCAAGGAGGGCGAAGTTTGGCTGGCGCGTTTGGCTATGTACGGCCTTACTACATCCCCCAGAGACTGGTCACAATACAGGGATCGCACCTTGCCGGTTGTCAGTTGGGTCCGGGTGAGAATGGAAAACAATCAGGCCAAGAGAGTCAGAGGCCATTTCATCAAGACGGAGGATGAGAACCTGTGGAGGATTGAGGAGGTCGACATTGAGTCTGGTGTGACGCACTGGACTGGGTTGATGTCCGTCTATGTGGGCGACATCTTAGTTTCGGGTGAAGAAGCCACGGTGTCAGTCGCCATAAGTTCTCTGCAGACAACATGGACCACGTCAAACATTGAATGGGCTTCACCCACCTCAGCGGTTCACTTCTGCGGTTTTGAGATTGCCCCAGATGCTGGGGGAGATGGGTTTCACATTGCCCAGAACAAGTATGAGCAGGAGATCCTGTCGCGATGGAATGTCAGTGCTTCAGCAGCATTCCCAAACTTCAAGATCAGCGAGGGTGACAGTGAACAACAACCCGATGTGGACCGAAATCAGGTCCGTGAGGCACAGGCCTTAGCCGGCTCCTTACTTTGGCTATCGACGCGTTCAAGGCCAGATCTGGCTTTTGGGGTTGCGGCTATCAGCCGACTTGTCACCCGGAATCCAGCCAAGGCGATTGAGATCGGGCATGGACTCCTGGCCTATGTCAAGGGCAATCCAGGCGGTTTGCACTACCCCAAGGACATCAAGAACAAGTGGGGTGCCAGAGATCAGTTGAAAGCGCAAAGACATGATCGTTTGCTGGAGGTGTTCGCGGACATCGCGTACGGCACTGGCACCGGCTACAAGAGCGTTCAGGGCTTGGTGCTATGTTTCGCGGGAGCCCCCATTGCATGGCAGAGTTCCACGCAACCTTTCGTACGCCACAGCACGGCAGAAGCTGAACTGGTGTCGTACTGCGAAGCTCTGACCGCAGGAAGAGCCACTGAGGCTTTACTATGTGCTATGTGGGGGGAGCCACTGGCAGCCAACTCCTTTGAGCGGGTGATCTATGGGGACAACGCTGCAGCAATCGGGCTTGCTCATGGAAACAGCAACCCCTCATGGCGGACGAGGCATTTGAGAGTCCGCTCGAACATACTTCGAGAAGCCCTTGAAGAACAGAACTCTTACCCTGGTGGTCCATGGAAGCTAAACCATCTCAAGGGGACAGAGTTGGTGGCGGACGGCCTGACAAAGCCGTTGATGGGGCAAAGTTTTGAAGGCTTTCAGCGAGATCTGGGCTTGAAGAGTGGGGTCCAGGTCTAGAAGATGGATGGCGGCAGTTCGACGCCTCAGACACAAGATCCTCAAATTGCTCTCCGTACTTTGGTGGTGGGTAGTCTTCTGGTGAGAGTTGCTGAGGCACAAGGAGATCAAGAGATGGACGAAGCCTTTGGTCGTATTTGGCTGTGTGGCTTGGTGCTGGTGGTAATTGGGGCAATATGAGTGCGAAAATGTTGTGTACCTCGGCGCACTGCTGTCTCCGCCGATTGCATGTGCTGCCTAGGGGCGGAGGAGAAAGTTTTGACTACTTCCTTGTGTTTGAAGCGGCGGAGAACGAGGAGCTCTACTACAAGAAGGGAGGAGGCTGAAGATGATCGTAGCAGCTGTAGCTCGGTATCGGATGAAGAAACCGAGAGTCAATCCTCCAGTGAAAATGAGGAGGAATGGCCCGTGAAGAAGAAGAAACTATGAGACGTGAGCTCATGTTTACTTGAAGAAGAAACTATGAGACGGCGGAGACCTACGGCACGTCCAGTGGGGAAGAAGGAAAGCTGCGAGAGCTCAAGTTCACTGCGGCTGAGAACGCCGAGATGGCGGCACAAGCGGCCGGACAAGCGGCTGAAGGAGCCATGGTAGCAGGGCGAGCTGCTGAGCAGGCGATTGCAGTATCCACACGACTGCACCAGGTGATCTCGCGGCCTTCGCACTCAAAGGCCTTTGTGGGTTCATCGTCAACATCCCACAGAGGAAGCCAGAAAAGAGAGCCATCCCCTGCAAATCCATGGAACAAGTTCCAGCGAAACAACGCCGGACGTGGCTGGTCTATGGAGACTATGCGGGCTGAGTACTACAAGCTCAAGGGCCAAAAGGGCCGAAAGTAGAGAAATGCCTTGAGCCTACTTTTCCCGTTTAGATCTGTCCGAACGACAGATGGGGGAGTCTGTTGAGAGTGGTGAGAACACCATGACCCATGTCATACCACAGGCATTTGTTTCTCGAGTGAAAAAGGAGCGAGGTGTTTCCTTTGTCAAGCCAGGAAAATGGCTCGGGGGTCCGTCAGCGGCTTGGGGGTCAGGCAATCATTTTGGGGACGAATTCTCCATCCACCTTGGTGTCCGGGCGCTCTGTGTCTTCGAGGCGGCACCATGTGGACGCCAACGCAGCTGGGTGGTGGGCAGCGGTGTGGCCGAGAGTTCCAGGCTCGGCGGGGAGCCGTTCAAGAGGAACTCCTGGCGTCCTGCAGGAGTTTCCGTCAAGGTTTCCATCAAGAACGGCACATGTTCCGTTGCGATCTGTTCAATGTCGGAAGTGGCACGTATCATGGCGTACGTGCTTCACTATTTGCTGACCCAACATGATTCGTGACACATCCTTTCCCCTCCCGTCCTGTGTCTGCACTGTACACGTGGATGGCACCATTTGCAAAGGATGTGGCCAAGTACTGGTCGTCCGGAGAGAATCGAACGCAGAAGCAGTCTGCAACTGGAGCGTAGCCAGGGTTCACAGTGTATTTCGACCTGGCATATGACACTACAAGGCAGAGTCAACAGGAGAATCTCAAGACTTGTCCCATGCAACAGACCAACCCTCTACGCGTAGTCTTGAGTACAGGGCGAGGGTTCCTGCTCACCTGAGATGATGTGGATCTGAATGTCCATCTGCACATCAACCTTTGCGTGGCATACTTCATGGCCTTTTTAGCTTGATCCCGCAAAGTCCAAAAGCCCGGTCTAATTCCTGTGCCTGATGCGCTTCGTCCCAGTGCCAATGCTGGTCACCTCCTCGCGGCCGGCCAAGGGAGTTGACTGACCGGCCAAACCCTTGGACCAGGGATGAAAGACTCATGATAGAGCTTGCCCGATGGTGAGACACGACCTCAGCTTGTCATGTCAAAAATGTTCACCAAAGCCAAGCATTGAAACAAGGGTCGTTACCGTGCACCTGTATTTGTCACAGAAAGCAAACCACCAGTGAAACAGAAGCTGACGGATGGTGATCATCAGTCATGTGTTGACACCACTTCAGCCTATCCTTTTGCTCCCAAGGTCCACGATCATCTAAGACCCATAGGCCCACCGCCTGACACGCACGTGGTGTGGACACCGGGAAGACCCGAGATGGTCAGCACTGCTACGGCTCCTCAGCGCCTTCAATGGCCATCGCACCACCACTGTACCCCCCGGCCATGTTGGGCTGAGTAGCGCGGCTACTCCAAAGTTGCCGTTCCGACTGAGCCAAAGATGGAGCTGCAGAACAAGGACCTTCACACTTCCCCGCTTGACTCAACATTTGTGTTAAAAGGGTTTCCTGGTGGTGCACTGGCACACAAATGCAAGCACAGCACCCATTCAGATGAGCGGCTCTTGCAGATCTTGCTGCTCTTAGATTTCGCCCAAAGATTCAAAGGTCGGGACAGGACGAAGGCTTTGGTCCCCTAGTAGCTACTTGCTCCTGGACTCCTAGTAGTAAGGCCAGGAGCCCAGCGTCCTTGCTCCTAGTAGCGATGCCAGGAGCCCCTAGTAGCTTCTTGTTCTCCCTTCCCACCCCAGGTCCGGCCGAGCCACCCGAGGGGAGCGCCGCGGCGAGAGGTCCGGGCGCGTCCTGGACGAGGTTTGGACCAGTCGGTCGTACCGTCGGGAAGACTTGGCATGTTCCAAATTCACGAAAAGCAAACAGTCAATACCTTTGGTAGGTGGCAAGAGGACATCTCTATGGATTCCGTCATACTACCGTCCTTTTTTTCGTGTGGTGGGATGCTACGCAGTCATAAGCTTTGGAGTGGCTCACGTCATTCTCGCTGGTTCAAGGAGAAATTCTAGTACGTTTGGAACGAAAGCCCTTTGATCCATGAAATCCCCAACTAGCGGGACGAAAACTCTTCAGCCCCGTGGCCCTGTGCTTTCACCTCCAAATCAGTCAGCCTTCTCACTGCACCAGTTTGCTTTCTGCGGCCAAGAAAAGGACTGGACCATTTCACTCTCAGATCAATCTTTCAGCTTTCTTCCATAAGCCGTTGCTGTGGCCATTGTTAGGACGGCAATGACGCAAACAGCTAGATGCATCAAACCAGCCATGACTGCTACTCTCGTGCTCTCGTACCAAATTTCAGCAAGGAGTTGTGATGGATGTTCTACTAAGGTCACAAGCTGTGGAGTCGCCACCTGGGTCTGGATGTTGTAGACTGATGAAGCTTGCATTGTAGCCCTGAAAAAGGTATCATCCATGCGCTCTGCAAGGACAGCTGCTTTTTGTGGCTGTGGCCCACATTTAAAACTTCCCCTTCTCTCACAACAACCTTTCCCAATGGCCCAGAATCTCACACTGGCTGCTTCCCCAGCAACATTGATCGGAGCCACACAGTAAGTGGTGCCCCTCGCCAGATACCCCAGTGAACGTGACTCGTCCAGCGCGGTGCCCTCCGGAAACCTGAGGAACGAGTCGAGCGGAACCTTCTCATCAGATGCCTGAATCATCTTGTAGTTGGATGCCCGATAAAGTTGCCAGAACCTTTGTAGATATTCAGCTTCCAGCCAAGTCCCTGCAGCCGCACCCAGTACAATGGAAGCAAGAGTCAAGAAACCCAAAGACATCACCACTGCATCCCTCACCTGAAAGCCAGTGAGGACAGCGCATACTCCAAGAAGGGTAAAAATGATCTGCAATATCCAAACAATGACTGCGTGATCGTGATAAAGACAAATAAAAATCGCCAAGCTCAGTGCGAAAGCTGTCCATGGAATCAAGATTGACGTCACCATGTCGCACAATGACATTCTTGTCTCCACAGGAAACGTGGCTGGGTCATCCCAGAACTTCTGCGGTTCAATTTCATCAGAGCTGATGTCAGCCAACTCTTGAGTTGGAACACCAACAAATGCACCCGAAGGCACGGAAGGAACACCTTCAGCCCCTTGCCACTTGCTATCATAAATCATCCGGAAATGGACATGCTGATCATGTGGAAATGCAATCTATTGGTGATATTCTATCTATGTGCCTAGTGGCCTAGTGTGTTCTGTTCATGCTTGGAAAGCTACACTTACATACACCTACGACCATGGAACAGCATTCTGCGGCTGCTTTAACAAGCATGTTCACTGGAGCCGTTTGGGTGAGGTGAATCCAAGGAGCCCAAGACAGAAGTTGCCTACAGTGATCCGTTTTTCCAGTTATTGAGTTATTGAACGTATGCGAATGACGCCTAATTTGATCCGAGACTTGCAACATTGCCATCGAGCCAATAGGATTGCAAGGTGACATGGTCAAAGACAAACTAGGGAACATTCTTGTTTCTAGTAGTAAGAATGCTCCTAGTAGCGATGCCAGGAGCCCCTAGTAGCGATGCCCTTGCTCCTAGTAGCTTCTTGTGCTTGTGTCAAGCAAAGTTCTTCTCAATGTTCAAGGTGTCTTCTCTGGTCCACCCACTAGGACCGCATCAGGGGGCCTTGGAACACCTACAGTAACACCCTTTGCAATTGCAAACGACGCTTTTGGGAATGTCCATATCCAACCTGCTGATGCTGCAATCCATCTCCACTGCCAGCGCGCCAGGTGTCAACTGGCAAGTGCCCGCAAAATAGGTAATCAAGGCCCCTTTACACTTACACGACCAGGTCCCCATTTCCATCTTTCACTACTCTCCCTCCAGGATGTCTACGAAGGGGGCATTCCAACACTTGCTTGACAGAAAATGATCGGAACTAATGATCAGCCTGAATCGAGCCAATGATCGGTCCCCATTGATCCACAAACGCACTCGATCCCAGCCGCCTCCTTTGGAGGCGCTTTGTAGATCCACCTGACACCATCACCGCCCGTGCCAATTCATCTGCTACACCGAGGGACACACGACGCATGTCTTGTCCCTGTTCCATCTGTTTCGTCTCATCTCAACATGCCGATTCCACGGTGACCAGTCGATAGCACTTTCCACCTGGGAAAACAGAGTAGGATCACAATCGTTTGACACATCGAAGAACAAGAAACACGTCTCTGAAATTGTAGGAAGCTGTCAAGGCGCTTCGTCCATGTAAAAAAAAAGGCTTTGGGGGTGTCTTTGACATTTGAGACCGCCCACATGGCCCTTGAGTCAATTGCTTCAGGCTTCAAAACGGCGAGCTTGAACAGGGAACACATCTGTCTTTACATGTCTTCACGCTGGTTCACTGGAACTTCAATTAAAAAAAGAGAAGACCAAACCATATTTGTCTGGTCTGATGCCCCTGCTGGAAGATCTTCTGCAGCTGAGCTGGAAGAGCCTGGAGGAGTTGTCTCTCACCACTCACCACTCCGAGAGACCACGATGGTCGACAAGAAGTCAACACAAAGTGCGTTTGTTTGAAACCAGCGCCTTGTGTCATCCGGAAAAAGAAAGCTAGAAACATCCTGCGATATCGGCGATTGCAAAAAAAACTTTGGAATTGGAGTCCCAATCTCGACCTTCCCACTGTTTGCAGGGAGAAGACAGAAACTTAGTCCATGGTGGCAAATTTGGAGGTGTTTGGCACAATTTGGGTTGCATTGATGCCACACGTCGTCTGCTCGCCTGAGGGAATCTCCTCTGTTGGGGCTTCTGTCTCCTCGCGGTCCTGTGAGAGTCCTGATCCCGGTGTTGCTGAGATCTGCTGGCAAGCGAAGTCATGGATGGAATGTGTTTCCGGTGCTTTATGAACTGTATTGACATATTACATCATGTGCTTTGCATGTTGCCAAAGACCAAACTCAGAAATGAATGTGACTCAGTCTTGAAGCAGGTCTCAAGAATCCTCATCTGGCTCCATCTCCACGTACCCTTTGCTGTGGAGATTAGGCTCTAATCAGAGAAACCAGATTCTAACCATTCTCAAAACTGTGCCCCTCAGGCCCCCAACTTAAGAGCTCTGGCGTCTCTTCCTACCCAGTGGCCGGTCAAAGCTGTCACTATCAGCGATAGTCAATCTGTTGCTTTCCATCCCCTACACATCGGAATGAATCTCGAGTTGCACAAAAGCTCACGTCAGGAACATCTGAACCAATCACCTAAGATCCCATTCAAGCAATGCCTTCTCCTCCAAGATCCCTTTTACCCGCAAGCCACACCTGAAGGCAGTTCGCACCAAACCCCGCTAAAAGAAGATCTTGATCATGCATCATCAATTTCCTGAAAGAGAGACGAACTATCCTCCAATCCATCGACATGATCGGGCCTACTCTACGGCTTTGTTCATCATGCTCATCAAACCCACTGTCGCATCCACTTGGTGCCCTGGCACCACCTCGCAGCTGCTGCCACGAACCTGTGAACGCTACTTGGCTGACGTTGGTGGTTTCGCACCGGCATACTTTGGAGCATGACCAAATCGACTTTCAGATCTGGAATTTGCCGTAACGGGCCGTAAAGGTTGTCTCAACTGTAGTGACTTTGCTGTGTCAAGGAATTTCTTCAACATGTTGCATACATTCGCCGCTTGCTTTTGGGACAGGTGGATGAACTTCCTCAACTGGTCCAACCACCAAGTCTAAGCTCACCCCATTGAGAAACGGTGCTCTGCCCCCACCTGCAGTAGCAATCGTGGAAGGATCACCTGACAGCGAGATTCCATGCCTCATGCACGTACCAATGAAAGCAAGACACTCCTCAAACTGGGGTTCGATCAACTTTAGCTTTTGACTTGGCTGTGTATCATAACTTACAACCTCCTAACTCTGTGGTCGAGACTTCCAAATACGCCCAACCCCTCAAACCCAAAAGGAGCGACAGTGGTAACCTGGTAGCCTTTGGGCTGCAGAATTTTGAACTGTCTCTGAACAAGTGTTAGATGCACAGTCACTATGATGCGATGTTTGATACAGCCAAAGGGTCTGTCCAGCATGCTTGCTCCCTCTGTCAAGTCAAGGGGTGGCCCTACCTGCCACGAGACAATGTTCGGAGTGCAAATCGTCAAGCAAAACTGAAGTCCTAAAGCCATAGCCTCATGGCCCAAATCCCTGGCCTCCAGCTCCACGCCCGCGTTTGTACAACCTGACCCGCGGGATGTTGATTTGGTCAGTCCAGGTTCGGGTTTAGGTACAATGTGATGTTCAAAGTCTCAATGTGATGCTTTCACCTTTCCATGCCTTTCCTTCACTCCCTGCAAGAGAAACGATGCGATGCACAAACTTCACATCCAGCCTTGTGCTGTGAAATTCGTCAACAGCTGGTAGATCTCAGTGGTTGAATGCATAGTTTCGTATCAAGGATCTTGTCATCATCAAGCAGGATTCTCTTCGAAAGATGCAAGGCATGCTCGGGTCCAACAATCAGACCATCACGAACCGTCGTGTCAACGTGGGTGTCAACGACCTTGTCAACCAGGTCAGGAAGAGTCCCTGAGCTCACCGACCGAGTTACTGAGGGCAGTGGCGCCCAGCTTCTGCCCGACACAGGCACGGCCTGCGGACTCATATCCATCCCGAGCCGAATGGGACGGCGTGTTCGGCTCAAAGAGGTGGGTAGAAGGGCAGTCTGTTTACAGGTGTTTCGGTTGACAAAGCTGGATGTCGGGCTGCCGAGCGGCTGAAATTGCCCAGGTGTTGATGTGAGGAAGCGCTTACCAAGCGGAGGAAGTGAGGGTCATGAAGTGCTGAAAATGATAAAGTCCAATCCTTCTTGAGGTGCTTCCCCTGAATCTGCAGTAACCAACTTTTGACACGCTTCTTGAAACCAACGAGTGCCCGGACGCCATTGACCCTCACATGGTCTGGCCTAGGTAGCTGACAAGCAAATTCCAAAATCCCGGTTTCAAGCGTTGCAAAGTCCACATCCTCCCCCTTTCGAAGGATCGGAGCAGCTGTGTAAACATGGTATAAACAGCTCCCCACCGTTGAGCGACTCAATGAAGGCAACGACTGGTCCACGCTCCACACTCAACGTGTTGACACATCGATCGGCCTGTTCTTTTTGCCGAATCTGAGACGCCACAATGACGGTAAAACGACACGGCACAAGGCTGAAAACGGCCTTTAGGTTGAATACGCCCGCTTGTTGCTGGTCCAGGGACCCAAAGGTCCAAAGGAACTCAACTCACGTGTCACATCAAAAGTCAATCCGTGGACCACTGCTGGAGGCATCAGCTTGCGGTTCTTGTTGAACCAATCACAACCCTTACAAGCAGGCTTGATAATCCACTGGATCAGAAAGAGACCAGGGACATTCTATTTCAAAAGTTGAGACATGGCAGCTCTATCAGCTGTGACATCTCTGGTTGACTCTACTCTACTTTCTGCTTGATCAAGGCTTAGGTACTCCGGTCTAGGTCGCAATCACGAGAGCCAGTATGGTAGACCACGAAGAGTGCTAGCTAGAAATGGCCAGGCAACACACTTGTGAACAGTAATCCCCAGAGGCCCCAGAGGCGAGAAATGTATTAACTGTTATCCAAGCCGCCATCCCTTTCAGCCCGACCAAATCCAAAGACCTGACTGAGCCAAGCATCCAAGCCTTTCAGCGATTTTCTACTGAGCCTATTTGCAGGCTTCTTCGTGGTGCCACTGTTTTGGACAGGGGCCACTGCTTTTCATATTCTCAGCAAAGAAATTATCTTTCACTTCCTCACACCTGTCACTTCACCTAAACGAAAGAAACATGTTTTAACTTTAGATCACCAGGTGCCCCCCAAAATGTTCGGGACTCTTTAAACGCATGTGCACATCCGCTGGGGACAGCTCCACGGACATCTTTGACGTCTGTTGGAGGACGACTATGTCAGGCGATGGAAAAAGAGCGAACGCCACGACTCTC